AAGAAATAAATATTTTGAAATGAAGAAATTAAAAAATGGTGATCAAAAGTATCGTTTTTTGGTGATCAAAAGTATCTAAATTTTTTGGTGATCAAAAGTATCTAAAGAGTTGTGGTGATCAAAAGTATCTTTTTTTGGTGATCAGAAATATTGTCACCCTTTTTCTTATATGACGTGACAAACTGTTCTGTTCTTTTTAAGCTTAGAAGTTTTGATTGCGCTTCATCTAATTTCTGATCCAAAGATTTCATTTTTATCTCTGCTTGAAAAAATATTTAAAGGTGCTATGACATCGGCTGATTCGAAATTAGCATCGAGTCTAATGCTTGGCATCACCGTCATGATTCATAGTCACGATCGTGGTATTGGCTGAAGCTGGGTCATAATTAATCACGAGCTTCCATAATAAATTAACGAAGGATATGAAATAATTGCTTGATATTTAAACTAAATTGTTATTCTAGTACTGCGTAGTCACTGTAGAGATGAGAAAGGAAAGTGATTGCCGTTAGCATCTTGTCTTTCTATGTCTCCCATATTCAAATATTATTGACGAAACGAAATAAAAAGTATTGTTTAACAATTGTTCTACAAGTAAATCGTTATTAAACTATGTTTTTGTATCATTTTAATATGATTATTTTGATTTGATAAATCAATTCTAATATATTAGTAGTATTTTTTTATCCTTTATTTAGGCATCTAATGAATTAAGAGCGAACGCATTAAGTACTGTTCGATATGCTGGATTTAGTCTTCCAAGTTGTCATTCTGGTTACAACGAAGTAATTTCTATTGGCAAACATCTTATGCCTTTTCTTAGCACATATATGCCTCATTTACAAACATTACATCTTTGGCGACCGGATGATTTTCCTTGGACAACTAGTAAGTTTATTTTAAACAAACAAAATCAGTCATAGGAAAATAAAACTACTTATTAATTTATGATAAATATCATTCTATTTTTTGTTTCTTTGATTTTGAATTTTATTTTCTCTTTTTATAGCTGAACTTGATAAAAGATATGGCATCTTATTCATTATTATGAATTAATTATGAAAAAATTGAGCAATCATTTGTAGTTAAAATGATTTGAACTGTGGCGTTCCTATAGAAATGTTTTTCTAATTTATTTGAATCGATAACTTCGATATCGATTTTAAATTAAGAAAGAAACAAGATAAACAAAGATATATTTATTCTTTTGAATAATATTTGTAACTACTGTATATTTTTCCAGAAAAAGTAAAATAGAAAATTCAACAAAGTTTTATTTCAAAATCTTGTTTAAATTCATAATGTATTAAAAATTTTATCATTAAAAAAGTAAAATGCTTAGAATAAAGTGAAAAGAATGAAAGTCTTGTCCACAGCATATGTTTTTTTTCTGTATCGAATTGAGCAAACATCAAAATGAGTTGCAAAAGAAGAATTTCTTTTCTTAAATATCTGTTTTGAATCTTCGAATATCTTTCTTTTAAACTGTACATGAGGATATTCACGTTTAACCCGACTGTTTACTATAGAAATAACTCTGATGAAGTTTGTTTATTTTAAGGGTACTCCCCACCTTTCCGGGGTTTCTCGAGAACGGCTCATCAGAAAATGTTGAAACTTTTAGACCAGATAGATCTTGAGGAGTAGAGCAAAAGTTGTCATAGACTCAAAGTTTCCAGATGCTGTCTTCTATGAGACATTGGGGTCACAATGGGTAAAAATGACTCCACTTTTCGCCCTCCTTTCTCCGGGATACTACGTTCGATGGAGCTGCAAATTTTTTTACAGACACTAGACACTATTTGGGATGGATATTTTTTTTGTTTCCTTATATCTTTTGTCTTTCGAATAATAAAGCCAAAATACCGAAGACACCCTAAAAAAAGCTTGTTTTTTTGCTATCACAAATTTTGTAAAAGCTGCCAAAAATTACCAGAGCAATATTTTTTGAAATAAAAAAATACCCACGCCAAATAGTATCTAGTATATGTGGAAAAGTTTCAGCTCGATACCTCTCACCATGCCAGAGAAACGAGGGCGAAACAGTACTTTTTTCGCAGAAAAATTGATTTTGAGAAAAACTCAACAGAACGAAAAAAGTTGCTATTTTTACATAGAAAACGTAACATCTTTTTGATTCTTTTAAACTTTAAAGCTATATTCGGCTTTTCAAAATGTGTCCAACGGATAGTGGGCACTTCATAGTATATGTATCAATGAAAAACAAAAATCAAAAAAATTTTAATTTTTACCTCCGGAAAGGTGGGGATACCCTTAAAAGAATATGAAATGATTTTTTGTTCGAAAGAGATATCCAGGTAAAAAAACAGATCCCGTGAAATGATCTTGTCTATTCAATAATGAAATAAAAAAATATTTCCTATTACAATTTTTGTCTATTTTATCGCCTCAAATTGTCTCACTGTATTTTTCTCTATTCAAGTTCGACCGGATTACAGGCAAGGACATGCTTATATGGTTTCATTTCGAGGATGGCTGAAGTCTCTAAAAACATCTGAATCGATTGGTATATAAATATAAATATAACGATTTCAGGCGCTAGGATAATTTCTTGCAGGACAATTCGTCGCAATGATATAATCCAATTATAATTTATCATTATTTTTTCACAACTGAATTGACCTATTAAGTTAAGTTTGAAACACATAATTCAATGAGTATAAAAATTGTAGAGGATATTCCTAATGACTAAACTTTGATTTTTTATTCAGGGTAGTACAATAATTGTCTTGTACACATAAAAAGCTAGGTTATTTGAATTATGTCAGCGGTAAAAGTTTTCTTATAGAAGCAGAAGTGGCACTGCATCTTTCTTTCAATTCCCACTATAGTTCAAGTCTTGCGACATATGGGAAATATTTTGAGAAGATAAGTGAAACATAGTGTTCATTGACAAAATTCGGGTTTGACATGACCAAAAAACTTTTAATTTTTATTAAATTTCCGTATTTAGCGTACAAATTCTGTTAGTTTAAAGATCATCCGGTCTCATTTTACATATTTAAAATTAAGCTAGTTCGAATTAACCGATGATTTATGCAGTGCTAGGGCTACTTTTGATGATATCTCATGTCTAAGGTTTTTTCATCTCATCGATATTAATCATGAAGTAGAAAACGGATCTGATTGTTTTTATCAAGCCAGAATTTCTTATAAAGATACAAACCGAAATTTAAAAAAAAAACCGAAGCCCAGTCATTAGAAATATCCTCTACAACTTTTATACTCATTGAATTATGTGTTTCAAACTTAACTTAATAGGTCAATTCATTTGTGAAAAAATAATGATAAATTATAATTGGATTACATCATTGCGACGAATTGTCCTACAACGAATTGTCCGGCCATCCAGTTTCATACGAGAAAATAAACTAATAATATAACTTTTTTTAGTTCAACATGTGACTGTTTTTGAACAAGATCTTTCTCAATTGGTCAAAGAATTAAAAGAATTTACTTTTCTTACTATTTATGGGGAAATTCATTATGAAAAAGTTGAAGCTTATCGGTCAATGGTTCAAGCTCGCTTTCCTCATAGTCGAGTAAATGTTGAAATGTCAAGATTTCGTCTTTGGCTTTAATTTTCTGTTCGTTATATGCAACAGTTGTGCATTAAAGACAATCGTCATAAAAGTAATTATTTAATTGCTTTTTTTCTCTGTTTGTCTTTAACGTTAAAAATTGTAATGTAATGTGGTGGCATTTACTATTGTTTCTTTCTGTTTCTTTCTTTTCGTTTCTGTTGTTTTTCCTATTTCTTTTTCGTTCTGTTTTGACAGTACGCTAAAAGTATACATATACATATACATTTATGTTATTGTTTTGTCTTTTGTTCTTTGATCTTTTCTTGATCTCAACTTAGGATTTTGCACAAGGTTGAAAGAGAAAGTTTATTTTTATTTGTATAAACACGAAAATAAACTTCTCAATAATCGATAGATTTATTATTTTAAAAATTAAATTGGTTATTTCTTATGATTCAACAGAAAAATAAATGTTCTTTCTAACAATGATAAATGCCTTATGAAGTAGCCGAAGCATTTTGCTATTGTGACGGTTCGAAAGAACGTCTTATTATCGATTCTAGGAGTCTCCTTTCTCTCTCGATCCATCCATACTCTCCCGAAATGTCAAATACCTTCAAAAAACGTGTCAGATCTCCCAAATACCATCCCCGATTCCCTCCTAGCCGGATTTCAATGTGATTGATGATGGTTCCAAGTGGACCGCGACGAGCTCTATCGATTTCAGGGGACTCTTTGGCTCTAGACACCTCCATACCATTAATAAGGCTAAAAAAAGTCTAAAGTAAAAGAAAAACAAATTGATTGCATTAAAAAGAATCAAAGATGTTTTTTTCTAATCTTCTGTTGTTTTCTTTTTAATGCCTGAATAAATCAATGACATAAAATCTATTATTTTTCTTTTTCTTGTTCTCCATGTAACCAATAATATTTCTTTTCTATTCCACGTTTTTTAATATTCTATTATTCGTCAGTTCTTTAAAGAACATACCAAAAAGAATGAGTGATGAATGTTCCCAGAAAAATAATAAATTTTCTCAGCTATGATCTAACATTTTAAAGTAGAAAAAAATAATAAGTGTTCCTATTTTAGATTCAATACTTTTTGAAATAGAAGAAAGAATAGTTGTTCTCAACTATGATTGAACATTTTTCAAATAAAAAAAAATAATAAGTCTTCTCAGTTCAGATTCAATACGTTTTTCGGAATAGAAAAAAGAGTAGATGTTCTCGACTGTGATTCAACATTTTTCAAATAGAGAAAAAGAAAAAAAGAATGAGTGATGAATGTTCTCAGAAAAAACAACAATAAATTTTCTCAGCTATGATCTAACATTTCAAAGTAGCAAAAAATAATAAGTGTTCCCAGTTCAGATTCAATACTTTTCGAAATAGAAAAAAGAATAGATGTTCTCAACTATGGTTCAACATTTTCAAATAGAGACGAAATATACATGTTCTCAGATGAGATTCAATATTTTTAAATAGCAAAAATAAATACTTTTCGAAATAGGAGAAAGAGAGAGAATAAAATGCTGTCAACTATGATTCAACATTTTAACATGGAAAAAAGAACAAATGATACATGTTCTCAGCTAAGGTTCAACTTTTGTTTAGTAGAAAAATTATGTCGTTGGATAAGGTTCAACGTTTCGGATTTTTGATAAAGGGAGAAGATAAATATATGTGATTAGATTATTCTTTAAATTACTGATGATAGTATAACTTCTCGAAGGAGATCTCATCGGGTCTTGTGTGGAATAGAGTGAGGAAGACTGGTGTTATTTTTAGTGTGTTGAAACCGAAGGAACAGAAGGAATTTTTACAGCTTCTTTATCGGGTCTTTTTTTCACTAATAGGTGCTTTAAGCTGTCGATAAGTCTGTTTGCATATAGAACGGGTATGTCGTCGAGTGGTGTTCCTTCGAATATCTCTTGCCAGATTTGGTGAAAATGAGAACCGAAGTGCGCTAAAGATGGAGTGTATGTAAAGTGGACGAGGATGTCTCTACTAAAGTCTATTTTTCTTTTTTCTTTCTTATTCCACGTTATGTCCAATACTGTTGCTTTGAATTTTTCGTGACCACTGCTCAGTAGTGTCTTTGATGTTTTTTCTCTTGTTGAAGATCTTCAGAGTGAGAACATATACGAGTTGCTCGTAGGGTCGCT